ATTTAAAAAAAAAAAAAAAAAAAAAAAACCTTAAAATTAAATTGAAATAAAATAAAAAAAATCGTAAGAAATTGGTAATTAAGTTGAATTCTCAATCTAAAAACAATATCAAGGCTCTTATTGAAGGTAATGGCATGATCGGGTGGGTTCTTAGCTCCCTCTCCAAGTCTCTCTACACGGATCATGACGTCGAACGACCATTGAATTGCGGATTTTCAAAAGGGGCAAGCGTCGAAGAAGATTTGGATCATGGAGGACAAGGGCAAAGGAACGGACAGATGGACCGGCGCCGTTGCCAATCTAACTGAGATGGCTTCCAACTTGGAGTCATTCCAGAAGCTTTTACTCAAGAAAGCTGTCTATGTCGACGAACAGACGTTTGCCAGAGCTTCATTGTGCTCCCAACAAGCAAGGACGATCAAGGTTACTATATATATATATATATTTTAATTGTTCTGTAGTTGGGTATTTTTAATCTGATATTTGGTTTGGAATTTCGATTTTGCTATTTGAAATTTGGCGGAGTGAGGAATTGGTTTTATTTCTGGACGGTGGTTATATCGAATTCCCCTCGTATTACCGATTTAAATGTTGATTTTCATGCTATGTAGTGGAATCAGAGTGATATACATGTTGATCACGGTTGCTTTGATATCTAATATATGGTTTTAAATTTCAATTTTGCTATCGAATGTGAGGGATTGGGTGAGTGAGGTAGCAGCTTTGGCAGATTCAGCGAGGAAGAATCTGGAGGCGGTTAGATAGGAAGTCATTCTCTTAAATAGATCCTGTCTAGAGGCCATTTTGAATGTCGGGTTTTCGAAGAACAAGGAGGTACATACACCTGATCTTCGAAGACCTTCCTGGAGAAATGGAGGCACTATGTAGAGTAGTAACTTCAGCTGTAACTACCCTAGATTTCTACTTACCTAGAATCGCTGAGGGAAAACCCGGAAGGTAAAACCCAAAGAGAACAATATCTGCTAGCGGTGGGCTTGGACCGTTACATCAGCCAAATGAATGGTTGCAGATCGCAATGATCGAGGGATATTAAGCAAATAGATACAAATGTAATCACTGGGTTTGGATAATTCAGGGATGAGTTAAAGGATTCAGTTTCTCATTGGGCTTTTGAGCAATTCAGTTTCCTCTTGGTGTATTAATAAGTTATATTTCTTAATTAACTTTGTAGGATGATTTGAGATAGAAAAATTCATTTACTTATCTCTTGCATTCCATCTTTGAATTCAGCTACTTTATTATTGGCTTATGATGATCGGGTAAATCATTTGCATTAACATCACACGCCACCATGTAAGGATCAAAGATCATATTACATGAGCTCAAGTGATGCGCTTTGTTGAGATTACAAGCCATTTGGTTATTGTTTCCTACAAATTTGTGATACAATTTTGCCCACTGGTTATGATAGTGAATAATCTTTTGTTAGGTTCTTGATCAAAGGGTTGAGACTTTGGAAAGGGAACTTGATGCTGCTATCACTGCTGCTGCTCATGCTCGTTCAGAAAAACGTCAGGCTGAGGCAGCACAAAAAACTGCTGAACTACACGTGCAGGAGGTCACTCGAGAGCTCGAGAACACTACAAGTATGGATGTCCTACTCTTTTAAATTTTTTCATAGCATTCTTTTTCTTTATTCAACTTAAAATCTGCAGTTTTATCTGTTGAGCAGCAATCTGTCTATTTGGCCTTCTGGATGTGGGGGTCTGGTTGTGTTATGTCAGAGTCTTGTGGTTTAAATGACATTGTGATACACACACACACACACACACACATATATACATATACACACACACACACACGCATATATATATTTTATCATAAATGTCTTTGAGGAGAGTCTTGTGGTTTAAATGACATTGTGATATATATATATACACACACACACATATATATACATATACACACACACACACACACATATATATACATATATACACACACACACATATATATACATATACACACACACACACACACACACATATATATACATATATACACACACACACATATATATACATATACACACACACACACATATATATACATATATACACACACACACATATACACAAATACACACACACACACACACACACACACACACATATATTTTATCATAAATGTCTTTGAGGAGAGGGGTGTTCTTTAAAATTACTCTGTTCATGTTAATGAATGATAATGCTGAGGAGGTTCGTAAACTATAGTGGTTTGGAATAACATTTGAAAAAAATGAAAATAAAATCGATTTTTCAATATGCGCGCTTCAAAAAATTAATAATTGAAAGTGTGTTTAGTATAGCTTATTGAGTGATTTTAGATGATTGGAAAGCGCTTAAACTAGAAAGTATTCTAAATAGACCATAAATATATTGATTGCTATGCTGCAGAGGTATTTCAACTGCATATGGATGAATTGCGCGCGAAACAGGAAGAAATCAATAAACGTGATAAGGATATTAAGCTCTTGGAAGCAATAATTCAGACTCTTGGAGGGAAAAAATGACGTTCAGCAAATCTGTGAGGATTTGGTTTTTATATTTAAAACCCTGGTACCTTTTTCTTTTCTTTCAGTGTAAATTTTTTTTATGGATAATCTGACTGAGCTTAATTAGGAACGTAGTGTATATTATATTATTTTGAATTCGTAGAGACGTGTCTTGTTTATAAAAACATGGATAAATAAAATTCAAATCATACTACCAATGTCTTGTACTCTGATAGTAAATGAAAATTGGAACCATACAAAGTTTTAGTTCTTGTGCATCTTTTTGTGGATATGTTGAAAATCGTCCGAAACAGTTATTATGGGTTTGGAGTTATCATTTTATAGTTCATAATTTTATGAGGAAAATACTTTGTTGTTACTTCAAACAAACCCAAAAGAAACAACCATGGTGATCAGCTGCACTTTGCTTGAGCAGACCTAAAAGACTCAGCCAAATCGAAACAAAACCTCCCTTAATATTGGATCTAGGGAATGAGTTCAAATTATGGTGATTACCTATTTAAGATTTAATGGTCTACGAGTTACATTGACTATCAGAGAACAGTCAACGTGCTCACAAATTGGCTTGGACACTTGTGGATATAAAAGAAATGTAATCTAGAGAGTACTTTGTCAGCTCAACCCTTCAGTAAAGTAGAAATTCCACTAACTGTCTGATTTGTGATATGTTTAGTTGCATTACTGTTCTTTGTTACCATAGAACTGAACCTCAGTTATTGCTCACAAAGTTATTAACCCTGGGCCTACATCAACAGCTTTCAATATCCTTATTTAAACCCCTTTGCCCCACCAAATACAGAATCAGCTTCTCCATCCCCTCTTCTTTTCTTCACCATGATGCTTTTGCCTGATTCTTGGAACTGGGGGCCACTTATTGTTTGACACTTGCTATGGGTGGTGATCAGGTGCTTACCTTTGATGATATCTGTCAGTTTTTAATTTCTTGTCTGCATATCATATACATCTTTGCATATTGCTTACCTTTTTCTGAAGACCAATCAGTATATGACTTACCTGTTCCTCTTTCTAATTCCTAATCCAACATTCCTTCTGTGCTAGCATTCTGATAGAGGCCCATCCCTAGAATTATTACTCCTTATAATTGATACTCTCTCTTTTGAAGTAGAGATAAGAACTACCAATTATTTATATATTCTCAATGATTTAAGTTTCGTTTGATAACGTTTTGGTTTTTAGTTTTTGAAAACGATACTTATTTTCTCATCATTTGTCTATTTGGTTTCATCTTTTTTAAGAAAATATTTGAATTTTAAAAGCTCCACTTCCAAACACATCTGAACCTACTCCCCTCATCCACACCACTATCAATGTTCATCAAACGGCTACTAGGCCAAAGGCTAGGCTTTTTAACTAAAAGTCCTGCTATCTGCTGTTTTTACATCTGCATCTATCCCTTATTAATCCAAATAGTTTTCACCGCCAGAAGTTGAAGGCCTTCACTGAAAAGCAAGGAGGGAAATTGAATATCTTGTTCTTTTACATCATAACACTTGGTCACTTGTTCCCGTTGCTTCGTATTCAAATTGATTGGGTTAAATGGGTGTATCAGCCAAAGCTTAAACTAAATGGAAAGAGAGAGTGAAACATGGCTAAACTTGTAGCTGCTGATTATTTAGAGACTTTCAGCCCTATTTTCTTTTTCTCCTGTAGTCTCCAACAATTGGCCTTTTAGATGACTTGATATCCCTAATGCATTCCTAAATGGGAAGTTCAATTGAAAAAGTTTTGACGCGACAAACCTCAAGGTTTCATATTGCACTCTCATGTTTGCAAGCTTCATAACACTCTCTATGGTCTTAAACGGAGCTTAAGTGCATGGTTTTTACCACTAAACTCTCATTTATTGTCTAGATTCAATGGATCACTCTCAGCAGAAGAGGATAATATTTACCTTGTTGTCACCTTTCGTATATCTGCCGGTGACATTTTACGTAACACCCCAAGCTCACGGTTAGCATATATTATCCTCTTTGGGCTTTTCCTTCCTTGCTTCTCCTCAAGGTTTTAAAATGTGTTTGGTAGGGAGAGGTTTCCACACCCTTATAAGCAATACTTCGTTTTCCTCTCCAACCGATGTGGGATCTTACAATCTACCCCCTTGGGGCCTAGCATCCTTGCTGGCATATTGCCCAGTATCTGGCTCTGATACCATTTGTAGCAGTCCAAGCTCACTACCAGTAGATATTGTCCTCTTTGAGTTTTCCCTTCCGGGCTTCCCCGCAAGGTTTTAAAACGCATTTGGTGGGAAGAGGTTTCCACACCCTTATAAGCAATGCTTTGTTCTCCTCTCCAACCAATGTGGGATCTCCATTTTAGTTGTGGGAACAAATTGGAAACTTATCAACCAATATCTAATATCTTTCAACGACCTTTTGCTTATTCAAGGATCTTGGACCATTATCCTATTTTCTTGGCATCCAAATTTGCTTAGTTTGGTAATACATTGCTTTTATCTCACAGAAAGTTCACTAGAGACCTTCTACACCAATGCCAACGTCCTTGCCAGCAAGTGCAGTTCTACCCTACGAATTTTGGACCACCTTACATTATAGTGACCTTTTTCAAGATTAAACCGACCATTTATAGCATAGTGTAGAACCTTTGGCCTTAAGTTCTTATCTTCATAAAACTACTCTGTCAACTTTTATACTAATGTAGACTGGGTAATGAAATGGTCGAAGAAGCATAATTGGGTTCTGTTGTTTTTAGATCAGTTTTGGCTCCTTGGAGTTCCTCAAAGCAAAAAACTCTGTCAGATCGAGTGTTGAATCTGAATAACATTGGTGTGGATTATGCGACTTCTGGAATTGTGTGGATACAATCACCCGGTTTAGAACACGTTTAAATAGGACAATATTGTCCTCTTTGGACTTTCCCTTTTAGGCTTCCCCTCAAGGCTTTTAAAACCCGTCTACTATGGAGAGGGTCTAGCCCTATTTTGACCAGTGTCTCGCATCGTCCGGTGACTGGCTCTGATACCATTTGTAACAGCTCAAGCCTACGGCTAGTAGATATTGTCCTATTTAGACTCCTCAAAAAGGACAATATCGACTAGCAGTGGGCTTGGACTTGAGCTATTACATTCACAACTAAAATAAACCCTTCGATATTTGATACATTGACTTGGACTCTAATTTCTGAAAAGTTTTCAAGCTTGAAAAACCAAGCTGAATGTGCTTATAGTACAATGTTCTTGAAGGGATTTTAGAATACATTCTTTTGCTTTGTTTTGTTCCCCTTTAGTTTTGTTTTTTTTACTTATTTACTCTTCCTTTCATTAGCTTACACATGGCCTGCACCATTATTCCTTTGTTGCTGTTTAATCCACTGCTTCCTTTAGTTGATAGCCATGTTGAGCATATTTCCTTTCATTTTCTCTCAAGAATATTCTCTTCAACTTTTTCATTTTTAACTATCCACAGGTGGCACCACAGTGAGTAGCTTATTGTTATATCTGATTTTCCTCTGTTATTACAAACAACATTGAGTTGCCTGTTTTATAAGCTCTTATCCCTATTCTACATAGCAGTTTTCTTGATTGGTTGGTGATGAGTTAACTAGAGGGTGACATGTACCAAGTGGCTGTGAAGTGCTAAAGAATAGATGTGATGCTCTTAAGTTTATTCAAAGGCATACAAAAAGATAGCTCTACTCGAGGAACCGAGCATAAAAAAAGGTTGGTACCGGTATCGGAATCAACTTATATGTATCTTGATTGATCTCATGGGATAACTTTATGACTTTACAATATTAGATCGAAAGAATTCAAATTTGTAAAACTGTAATGTTCTATGTAGATGGCGGTTATAGAGTTTGAACTTGTTAAATATTTTACCTTTTTGACTTACTCGAAAATTTGATGATATGAAGTTCAAGGTTGGATAATTTAAAAGGCAAGTTGTATGCAAACTGTCACAATTGTACTCTTGCGACAACGGGATAGTGATTGTACTACAGTTGTTCTCACCCGGCAGACAGTTTTGTATCATTGTCAGCCTCACGGTTTTAAAATGCGTCTGTTAGGGAGATGTTTCCACGCCCTTATGAAGAAGGTTGCCAGTGGATATTGTCGCCGTTAGTCTCACAATTTTAAAATGTTTTTGTTAGGAAGATGTTTTCACACCCTTGTAAAGAAGGTCGTTAACAGATATTGTGTACTTTGGCCCATTAAGTATCGTCAACCTCATAGATTAAAAACGCGTTTATTAGGGAAAGGTTTCAACTCCCTTATAAAGAAGGGATCCTCCTTGGGGCCCGTGTTCTCGTTGGTATGCCGCTCGACTTTGATACTGTTAGTAACAACTCAAACCCGCCATTAGCAGATATTGTCATTTTGGCCTGTTACGCCGTTAGTCTCAGATGTTTCCACGCCCTTATAAAAAAATGTTTGTTCCTCTCTCCAACTAATAATAATAATAATTAAGGGTAAAGAAATATTAGTCTACCAAAAAAAAATAATAATAATAAAGTAAATTCTGGTAAGCATATGTTCCAACTCCCACTTGTGCCCAAAAACAATTCAATTTGCAAATATTCTTTTGTTTGGTTTAAACTTTATTTTGTTTCCAAATTTTTATTTTAAAACCCATTTACCCTTTATTTTTCTCTCCAACTGACCTGACTTATGAACAGGTTGCATACTTGCTTCTATGAATGAAAACTATCTCCATAAATCAACAGTTGTCTTATTTTCATCCTATGGTTCGGCTGCAACAGAGTGTGTAAGTCTATATGCAAGCCTAGGGTTTATGAAGACAAAGAATTTGTCTAATACGTCTACATGCAGGTACATGGATCGTGTGTAGAAAAGTACTATGCATCCAAGCCCACCTGGAAAATAAAATTTGATCCTAAGACTATAGACATGGTTTAGGACCCATCAAACCTAAAAACCATAGTTGAATATTTGCATTTCTGGCCCTCGAAATGTTTTAGGTAAAGATAAGAGTCATGTATGGATAACAACGTCGGTTGAGGAGACCATGAAATAAAGCCATAGACGGTCTTTTTCTACATTTTAGTTATATTTTCATCGATACGATAGCTTAATAATAGTATTTCAGCAATTCCTTATTTCAACTATAGTCGGAAGTTTACGAATATTTAAGTTCATAGAAAACTGTAAAAAAATAATTTTATGCATAAAACAACGTCATATGCATATAATATTGACCTTATTTTTTTAAAAAAGAAAAAATAATAAATCGTTATAAAAAAAACAACTAAAAGACAAATTAAAATGTTAGTTGAATCTGGCCAATTTCATGTCTAATAAATCTTTAAATTTTTTAATATATTTTTCAATTTTTGATTATTAGGTATAATTCAAAGATTAAGTTGTTAATAAATAAAATTTTAATTTTAATTTTAATTTAATTTTTTGTTTTTTCAGTTTTGGATTTCTTGAGATCGACACGACACGACATCAATTTTTGTAAGAACAGGTAAACAAAAATGGTATAGAAATTTGAAAGCGGCGTTGATTCTGCGGTGCGCAAAGGATTTGAATCTTATATTCTCGTTTCTCGCCGTTTGCATCGCCACAAAGAACAGAAGCTCGTAATTTACTACTTCCAAAGCACTTTCTCTCTCACTCGCTGATTCTGTCCGGTGCATCCATGGAGGGCAATCCATCGCTCAAGCGCCGGTTCTTAGAAACCGAAGATGGCGATTCTGCCAAACCACCTGCGTAATTTTCGACTTTCTACTCTCATTCAACCCCTAATCATACTTTCCTTGTGTTTTTATTCTTCTAATTGCTTGGTTTCGTTGCGCTTTACTCTCAACCTTTCGTTTTTTTTTTTTTTTTTTTTTTTTTTTTTTTTTTTTTTTTTTTTTTTTTTTTTTTT